GTGTCTTAACCAAGAGAAGATATCTTCTTATGGGAGAATTCTAAAGAATTTTGTATTTGTAAGAATTCCAGAGAGTCTGTAACATCTCTTCATCTCACTCTCTGGGTGTAAATCAATGCAGGAACATTATAATAAAGTGGATTGCTTGGCCAGATACACATACTGTGGTTGGAAAATTTAAAAATAAATTGATTTTTTCCCCCTAGCTCAACCTTGCTCAGATCTTTCCTTGCACAGAGTTAAGCAGTGTGTGAGCATAGTCACTATTCATAACGCTTATTAATTCTGATAACAGTGCCATGACATTCGGTTGCATCTCAAGAATCTCTAGACAGCTGTTTTCCGATCATCAAAGAGGGCATTAGCTCTGCCTGTGGCAGAGGCGCAAGCGTATAAATGGTAGGGCTCTGATTGTCACAGTAGAATCCCATTTCTCTCCGAGTGGCAGGCTTCACTGGAGTGAAGGTCAAGTCTCACCACCCCTGATAGCATGCATGTGTGTGAGAACACACCAGTCAGCGGGGCGGTTTTCCCAGCATCACTCCTAATGTCCATATGGAGTCGGGGAAGGGTATTATGACCTCAGACAAAATCCCTTGTATTCATACACTCTGATGCAGGGTTTCCCAAAGTCTGATGTATGTGTGTTGTCCTGTACACAGAGTGATGGTAAGGAGTTTATGGGCAAGGCACTAAATGACACTGAGCAGAAAGCGACTGTCCCACATTACCGCCATTGAATCCTTGAAGTTGTCTCAAGGAGGTGGTCTGAGCTGGGAGCTGGTCTTATTCTCTGGAAACCCTGGCTTCTCAAACTGTGGCCCTCAAATCAGTAGCATCTGTATCGCAGGATCGATAATTAGAAATGCAGAATCATGGGCCCCACTCTAGGTTTACTAGATCAGAGTCTGCATTTTAGAAAGATTTACAGGTGACTTATGTAGATATATATTACAGTTTGAGGACTTTACCCCACCACAGCGGTGTCCTGGAGGTAAATCTTTCTGGGCTTATCAGAGGTGAGTGTTAAATTTTCAGGAACTCCCCTAGAGTGGGTTAATGGTAGTGTTAAACTTAAAATTGGTCATGATGGACATATTTATATCATAGAAATCAGAAATCAGGCAATTTTTTCCTTTTCCATGGCTACTTGTTCAATATTTAACAGTGCAACCTTGCCTCTAACTGTTGCTGGTCTTCCTTTTTAACAAAAAGAGAGATGACCTCAGTCTTTGACAGTGTCTAGTTAAGTGAAAATAAAACACCGTTTAACATAACCAATTTCTCTGTGCTTCAGTTCGCTTACCTCTAAAATGGGAATGCTAATAAAGTAATAACAATACTTACATCACAAGGTTATTTTGAAGAGCGGATATGAATACATGCATGTAATGTTTGTATATACATATCTGTGTATCATCTTCCTTGATGACTTACCATATCCATGCATATAGTGTGTGTGTACAGGAGTGCGTACAGTTCTTCTTGATGATTTAATGTTGCCCATTTTCTAAGTATTCATTTTAATCTTTTTGTGGTTAAATAATATTGGCTTTCCTTTTTTTAAATAAATAGGTTTAAAACTGAAGCTGCTTCTATAAAATATAAAGTAATAGAGCAAATGATTCAAGAATGTGCCAGAATCTGAGGAGGGACATCTGAATGTTTCAGGTGCTAGAAGCTTTGCGGGGTTGGGGGGAGTGATGGGAATGACCAGTACAGAAGAGGGTTTCCACAGAGTTGGGCCAATTTCTCCCTGAAGCTCTGCCAGAGCTCTGCCACTAACTGTGGGACATTGGCTAAGTCACTCGTCACTCTCCCTTTCTCTGAAAAAAATGAGGATTTAGATTGGAAGAGCACTCATCTCTCTCCTAGGCCCTCTCCATGGGAAGGCATGTATTTTTAGTCCCTGAAGCTTTGAGAAAATCAAACATGCTCTTCTCTTCACAAAGAACTGGCAGAGAAGAAGGCATCCTATTTGACATGTACTCTGCAGTGACTGTGACTACAACCCTTCTCAACATTTAGATGACACTTCCTCCAGGAAGCATTTTTTAAGCTGCCAAGATGAATGGCATACCCATCACTGTATTTCCCTACCTCATCTCAGACTATGTTTCACTAAATATTGTAAGTATATATTTCCTAATCTTTACCCTTTAGACTCTCCACTACCTGAAGATAAGAGCTCTGGCCTGTTTGCCTTTCTATTCCCAGGGCCAGACACACAGTATATGCTCATCAAATATTTATGTAATGAGAGTAGGGGCTGTTGGAAGAAAGAGAATTTTGGAGCTAGATTACCAAGATTCAGATAATTGTTTGCTTATTATTGGAAGTGTTCTTTGGGCAAGTCATTTAGTTATTCTGCACCTCAGTTTTGAACAGAATAGAGTAAGGCATAGTGACCTTTATCTAAATGTGAAATATTGTGTTAATGGAGACTGTTTTGGGCTCTGCATATATTTATTTATTAATCCATTAATTTTAACTATTGAAGCTATGCCATCGTATAAAATTATTTCAGGATCTGTTATTACTTTTTACCTGATTTTGGCAAGTTCAGGCAGGGCACCAATCATGTCATATGTTACCCTGAGTGTCACTTGATAGTTTCCATCAAAGAAGTGACTATTATGAGTTTAAATTGAGATCGAATGTCCCTATCCCAGAATCATTAACAACACAGCAGATGCCAGAGTATACTTGCAGAGTATTTGGCACAATTTAAAAATAAACGTACATTTTAGCCTTTCTTAAATTCTTTAGCAAGATTCTCTCTTAATATTCAAAATAAACCTGCCTAGGTATAGTTATTATTATAGTTGCTGTTGTTGACTGGCTCCCAACTGGTAGTGTAGTTCTTGAACTAGAATTCAAACCCCAAGCAGGCTGACGTTAGAGGAAACTTTCACCACCATCACGTGGTTCTCAGGACGTTGGAGAATGGCATATGTGGGTGTTGGAGCGTTCAGATACGGCCTATCATGGAGCAGGGTATATTTGTGTAGAGTAAGTCTTTTATCCCTGAGCAGTGTTTGGGCTGAGGCTCCATGACTAGAATGAGGCTCACCTTTGGTATGATATGGTCCATCCCTTTTCTCATCAGTGTTACCCTCCCACGTCCCGCCTTAGGGAAGACGTTTGACTGTCTTTGTGTCACTCTCGTACCTTGCCTACTCCTACTGCAGAAGTCACATGGCTTAACTTTTTGCTTGCTTGTTGAACTTTTTTACCAAAGCCTCTTGAGGTCAGAGGCCATGTCAACACCACCCTCATAGTTTAATGAGTGCTTCCCATGTTCTGGTTGCTTTGTGTGTGTCTTGCTTCCAAATCGCCTTACTGCCTGGAAAGTGGGAATTATCATCATTGTCATTTTGCAGAAGGTAAAACTGAAGCTCAGAGAACTTCAGTAGCTCGTCTATCATGACAGGGAGAGCAGGTGAGCAAGGAGTCAAATCCAGGTTTTTCTGCCTCCACAGCAGACACTCTGCAGCATACCATGACACTTCGTCAGCACTGTCCCCGGCCCCATGTCTAAAAGAGTGCATGGCATATGATGGACGTATTATAAATGCTAAGTAAGCAAGTGGGCTGGCAATTCAGAAAGATATTAATATTTTGGAATTTCTTATTGAGACCTTTTGAATTTTCTTTTAAATTTGAAGTCTGCACCTAGAGGTGAAAGGGTCCCCATCCCATTATGAGTTCCCTGAGACAAACTGTTCGCAGTGGTGTCCTGAGGAATTATTTTCCCATTTAATTTAATTCAGCAAGACTTCTCTCTGGAAACTGCAGTGAATATTATTTCTTTAGAAATTTTTTTTTTTTTTTTGAGAAGGAAAAAACACAGCTTGCCAAGCTGAAGGTAAACAAAAAATGTATTTGACACCTCAGGTAATGGAGATTTTTTTTTTCCCATCCCTTTCTGAATCTTTTAATTGAAAATTGTATTTTTACCATATTTCATTCCCGAAGGAGCTTTTCATAATTTAAATCTGTTCAACTGTATGTTTAGGATGGGAAGCCTGACATGATCCTGATTACAGCCTACAGGTGGGGCATTACGGAATTTCCGTATGGGAGTATTCTAATTTTATTCACTCATTATTAACATCCTGGTGGAGAATTGCATTCGGCACCCCGAACTGGATGATCTCTTCTCATGGGTTGTGGCAGCTAAGATTGTAAAAATTGGTGAAATGTCCCTTCCCATTCTCATTCATAAATTAAAAAAAAAAAAATTCACATTAAAAGCTAGCTGGTTTCTTTACATAGTTCAGCATGAAGTGAACTAGAACCCATCTTTAAACTGGTAAAGAAAGAAGGAAAGAAAGAACGAGAGAAAGGAAGGAAGGAAAAAGAAAAAAGAAAAAAATAGGGGTTTGCAATCTTTACAAGAATACAAGAGGGCTGCATTAGCTTACACTCCAACTTGCATTACAAACAAATAAATGAAAAAAAAAACAATGTAAGAAAAGGGAATGGGGGATGGGGAACAAGAAGGAAGGAAAGGGAAAGGGAAAAGAGAATTTATATTACTGTACTAAAAGCAGTTTTTGATAAGTAACAGATACGATATTAACTAAAATTTAAATAAAGCTAAAAAAAAATAAAATAAAAGGACCTATTAGCCTACCTGTTACCGATTCCTCAGATCCACTTTCTTAACTCAAGAGTTTTAGCAAATGTCTACCGTTGTTCATCTGCCTAATTTTGAAAAGCAGTGATTTAGTTTCAAAACCTGTTTCAGTGGACTTTTTTCTTTTCTCTCTCTCTCTCTTTTTTTTTTTTTTTGTAGGATATTTCAATGAAAAGGAAAGCCACTGGATCTTGGTCTTAGAAAAACTGTTTAGATAATGTCTGTTCCCTGTGCTACAAACACGTGGCAGATCTGTAAGTAAATGCTGGGCCCTGCATGATGAATTGGATGACTGCAGACCGGAGGCAAAAAAAGTAATTGTCTCATTTTCGTGGTGATTTGCTTAACTGGTGGGACCATGCCAGAACGGCTAGCGGAAATGCTCTTGGATCTCTGGACTCCATTAATAATATTATGGATTACTCTTCCCTCTTGCATTTACATGGCTCCAATGAATCAGTCTCAAGTTTTACAAAAGAGGCTGGGTTTGGAACCAAATGTTTGTCCTGGAAGAGTTTTCTGGACCTGAACCGATTCTTGTTGGGCGGGTAAGCTTTGTTTTTAAGATTCTAATTTCAGGATCTGTTCATTGTCTTTGGATCTTGACTTCAAACTTGTCACAGTTGCTGCCACACTTAGCTGTGAGGACTTTTGGCCAGATGGTTAGTAAGTTTACCTATCGGTTTTATTAGGAATATGAATAATCTCTTGGGAACAGCTTTAAATGTAGACAGACTGCTCTTCTGGGGACAACTCGTCTCCCCACACCTTCCACCCTTATCAGAGATACAATAACGCTTGTGTATGCATGCACAAATGAGGTTGTCTTTCTCATCTCATACAAGAAATCTGTATGCCAAACCTTTTCTCTAAGCTTACAGCACTTAGAATAGGTATACATTTTTTCTCAGTTTAAATATATACCACCCTGATTCCTAAAATGTTGTTTGGTTTCATTTTATTTTGAGGTTTCATTTTATTTCTCCAATTTCAGGTAGATTTTTCTCTTTTTTGGTTTCTTTCTTTTTTGGGGGGTGGGGGGTCGGGGTGGGGCGTTGTTTGTTGTTTTGAATATTGACCCAGGATGAAGAAAGGGAAATTCTTGGTGTAGATAACTTCACAGTGGTTCATACTTTAATTCAATGAATTTGGCAGTTGGAAATTAGCACATTCATTGTCAAATGGAATCAAATGTATAGAATCAAAGTTTTAACATAGTGGTGTGTGTGTGTGCATGCATGTACAGGTGTTAAACTGGTTTTACATTTGTTTTATTGTTGGAAAGGTATCTAGTATAGATAAGTGCCGCCTGCTTTCCAAAGTCACACTGTAGGCTATTGAAGACTGTATATACTTATTCTTCAGAACTGTTCGTAAGCTCCTGTTAATTTTGACGCATACCATCATCATAGGTAGAGTTCTACTTATGAGCCTGGTGTGGCTGATTTTCCTGACAAGTCAGATTCAAAAGTGAATCATGTCAATATTATTTATTTCCCAAATGCAGTGATTTAAAAGAAAAAAATAGGGACGGAATTAAACATTGTTCTTTAAGACTTGAGTTAACTCTGGTCTACGGCCATGCAACCCTGAACAAGCCCGATTCTGTCTGATTTCAGAAGCTAAGCAGCGTCGGGCCTGGTTAGTACTTGGATGGGAGACCACCTAGGAAAACCAAGTGTTGTAAGTGTAAAAAATAAAAAATAAGGGATTGTAAGCTGATAAGGTCCTTGCAATATGTGAGGTTAACTAAGGGTTGCCTTGTCTAAAAAAGAAAGAAAGAAAGAAAGAAAAAGATGAGTTAACTCTGCATTTTACTGAGAATTTTTTTATTGCTTTCCTGCTTCTACCTTGCAAAGCAAATTGAGCCTTCCCAAGGATTTTGTTTTCTCATTTCATGTATTTCTACTTGAACAAAAGAAATCTGGTTGAGGAGTTATGAATCATTCAAAGAATATTTATTGAGTCCTTTCTATGTGTCCAACATTCTTTTAGGCATGTAGGGGGCATATTGTGAGCAAAACAATGATTCTGGTCTTCACAGAAGTCACATTCTGGCTGATATTGAGTGTTTATTACAATAGTGTTAAGTACTGTTGTAAAGGCATTTTGTGGGCATAATCCTATTTGCTTCTAACAATAGTTCCTTCTCTCTCTTTCTAGGCATATGTGTATGTGTATATGCATATAAGTGTATACATTTTTTTCTATAAATCTAAAGTATAAAAATCTCTGAAAGATTTTTCGTATGCTTTATACAGAATCAGGTAGCAGAACTGACTTGAAGCTATTTATAGTCAATGTATCCCATTACTGTGACTGTTTATACACTTCCCAGCAGAATTTGTAATGTGTTTGATTACAGGGGGCTGCCCCAGAGCTTGCTGAGGGTGTACTTACTATACAGCTTGTATACCTTCATATTTCTAAATGTGAAGACTTTTGAATTCCAAAACCCATCTGGCCCAGTGGGTTTTGAATATGAGCTTCTTAACTGGCATTATCTTTTTTTTTTTTTTTTGTAAATGCAGAAACTGAGACTTAGTTGGATTAATAAAGCAAACCAAGATCATAGAGCTAGTAAATGATCTGAGTTTGAATTCGGTTGGAGATCCCCAAGGCCATAATTTTACCCATCATATCCAATTACATTTTAGTAACTAGCTACCATGTGTTTAAACTTGCACTTAACAGTGATTGAATGTAGAATGCCAAGTCTCAGGCTGTTTTGAACTTCTTTACTCAGAATTAAAGCAAATCACTTCGTAACACTTGGTAATTCTGGATATACATGCCTACATATGTAATTGATGAATATTTTCTCCCTGTTTTTGTTAGTTAACTATTTACAGTAGTATATCTGGCTGACAGTATCTTGTATAATATAAATACATAAACATGCTATGACCAGGAGAACTCTCCATTTTTATCCAAAGAGAAAAAGTAATTAAGTTGGGCTTTGTTTTGGACTCACAGAATCTGATGACTAATTTCACTTCCATTCTTTAAATGAAGTAATAGAGATAGGGGCAAATGGCCAGGCATTCAGCATCTATTGTGACTTAGTAATAATCAAGAAAGATGCACTTCTTTGCATGACAGAAATGTTGCTAATGAACCTGAGGACTTTGAAATGGCCAAAATGCTCCTGAGTGTTGA